CTGCATGCCTTTCAACCAACACATCGCAGGACGATTCTGGTGCCTGCTGTTCTTATGAGATGCCGAGCTCTAGAAACAGAAGCTTGAGCGAAACTATCGAACGGGGAGACTTTCCCCTTGGTCGGCTTCTCTTGCAAGCCACGAGGATCGAAGGAACTTCATGGAGGAGCTGAGGAGCTCATCTTTTCTCCCGGCGCACTAGGACACCGTCCGCTGAAACATAGCAGTGCTGGCATTGGCAGTTGTGCCCGTAATCCCGGTGTCCAGCATACCTCGGCGAAGGCGCACGCGCGCGCGCCCCTCTCTGCTCACAGTACATGAGCCGACGCAACAAAAACAGGCCCGTAAGCTCAGCTCAGCATCTGGAGCTCATACCTGCTCTGCCTGCTTTAGCCTCTGAATAACAACCGTGCCGTCGAACCTTGTTAAATGATCGCTTGGCCGGAGTTGCTTCTTGACCCATACAACTGAAACACATCACATCTGTGCAAAGATTGGTCTGCCGAAATCGAACAAGGGTTACCAGAAATGCGAGCCCTGCTTTCTGCGAGTTTAGCTGGTTCAGCTCACAAGCAGACATTGTAATCCATGACAGTAACATGCTACGGCATCGCCAGCCTGTTTCCGTTGCCGACTTGATACATGAACCAGAACCTGCTATCTCTGGGCACTAAATGGCGAAGCTTTCCCTAAATTCTGAAACCTAACTGTGACAGGTGCAGCCAGTATGCGGTAATACCGTTCTGTGCCACCGGCATAAGGGCCAGGGATCTGCACGCCTTGACAATCTACGATTGAAGCTTTGCCTAAGCCCTAAGCCCTAGGTAGGGATTGTGGAAGGGGGTTCTGCCAGGCCACGGGACTCAAAGGATCTGTTCGAACACTTAAAACGGAGACCTACCCTCTACAGGTAAACAAACGGCCTGAAGCCAAAGGTCCTCCGTTTACGCGCCCGTCTCCTGAACTCTGAGGCCTCGCATCCTCAGAGCCTTGTTTAAGCGCGCATAGCAAGGGGTTGGATCTGGACTGTGTTTGCGGGGATGCCGCCGGCAATGGGCCCGTCAGGATTGCCATGCTTCTCTCTGGTAAATTAAATAGAAAACAACCTCCACGCTATGTAAGCTTTCCGGCACCTCGTCACAAGGACCCAACCCGGACTGCAGTGCGCATGTCACTAAAATGTATCTTCGATGCTCGACAAACATCAGAACCCAAATCCCAAACTCTGAACCATAAGCCCGAATCTCAGCATTCGATCCTGCGTGGGAAACCTATCGAGGCTTTCCAGGTGGAAGCTGAGGGTTCGGGCTTCATGGGCGTTAACCTCAACCCCAAGCACTCAAGCCCGGATTGCGTGAAGCCCAAGAGACTCTACCCACATCTTCATCTACATACACCTCTCGGGACCTTATGCACCCTCTGAAACCCCAATATACCCTACTACTAGCCTTGACACTTGCAAGCTGGCAAGATACAGCCTCAATGCTGTTGTGTATGTTAGACCGTCTGGGGGATAACTTGTTAAGTAGTCAGGCTTCGATAGCACGGCCAAGTGCAAAACCCTTCGCCTGGCTGAGCTGTCGCCGGGCGCCAGTTGGCCTGGGCTGGCCTTGGGTGTCCCATGCTTTCAGATTCCAAGTTGCCTTCTTATCGCACACAACTCCTGACAACTACACCTGAGAGCGTAGAAGTCACCATGGTTCGGGCTGAAACTGGCGGCTCAGGCGCATCCCTCTTTACGGGGGCTTTGAGTGAGTCAAGGTTGCTGGGCTTGAGGACTGGATCTTCGGACTGTTGAAACTGTGAGAAATAGTCAAGACAGCCTAAATGCGGCAAAAAGTCTTTCCAAGCCCTTGATCTCTGTCCGTAATTTTGGACCTTCTAAATGACCGACGGTAAAACATCTGGCAAGGACCCTGAACCTCCTGAACCCCAACTTATTCCATCCCAGGAGCAGGGGAGGTCGCGTGGAGGCCGGCAATGTCTGCACTGACATCTGCGAGTGGGCCTCCGCCATGCTTCCAGGGGGGTCTTGGGCCCTCGGAGGCAGTTTGCAAAGGGAGCACAGACACAGATGCACGCAAATCCGCAGGATGTTTCACGCTTCAAGCTATCAGTTTCGGCTGGTTTCGGATGTAAGGTCAGGGGAGCAATGGCCACAGCAAACATGTGTGAAATTGAATGCTACTTGGCCTGTCAGTGCCGTGAAGTGACACCAGCAACGACATCGGTGAGGAAGATACTATGGACGACATCACTTGAGGACTCAAGTTGAAACCATAACACATTTTCCACAGCATGGTCACCAGAACATCAAATATGTTTAGCATCGACATCAACAACAAACTCCCACAGCAATCGCCAAAGGACATGACAACAAACGACACGAAATGACCATCATGATGTGCCTTTACTTCAGTGTTTAGGCCTTGGCCGGCTGAATGACGGTGGGAGGTCGCGCTTGCGACACGACTGCCGGCTGCTGTGGGACACCTTGAGGACTACAAGCTCGGCACTACAGGTAGGCTTACATAGGGTCTTCTCGAAGAGAATAGAGCCGGGCATGTTGCTGCGAGGGCATGTATCGGCAGGACAAGGCGAAGGGATCATTCGCAGAACTGGTTTTAGGAGATGTGCCGTCTGCACTTCGAGCTGCTGTGCCGCGCTCAGGGCGTCCTTGTGTCTCGAACGGTGGCAGGATCGGTTGCGAGGCCCGTGTTCAAACTTTGCCATGCTTACAAACATCATGCCTCGTCACTCCGCCTTGAGTCACAGCCGAAATCTAGAAGCCCTCTCAAAATCGGAAGTCCCAACCCCGAATCTTCTGCAAACCCCAAGCCCTGACGGAGCGCGGGCCATTGCTTGCGGGCTGCCGGCACCGTAGGCTGTGAAGCCTGCGGGCGGAGGCTCCAGCGAAGAGCCAAACGAAACAGAACGTCCTGCATTGGGCCACAGATGTTAGGTTTGGCTCTCGGCTGGCAAGCCGAACTTGTCTCCACAGATTATATGGATTAGGGGCTTGTAGCTGTTGCACCAGTCGATTCAAACAACACTAGTGTTCCGGCATGGTGCGAACGCCATCTTCCGGGTGATTACTTGGGTTCACCCACAGCCTCCATGCCGGGGAACATGATCTAAGCTACTCTCCAGCGGCATTACATCCCAAGTGTTGGGGCCTCTGTGCCCCCTCACTTTCACTCTCCAACCCCTTCGTGCACTTCTTCTCTTCTCCCAATGCTTCAAAGGCTAAAGCGCACCGGCAGAAATTGAGACTCTGCAGCTGTCGGTCTGTTTGCGGCTCCAAGGAAAGATCTAATCTCTTGGGGTTGAGAACTAGCTTTCCTCGTAGGTTCCAAATTTAGCTGTGGGTTGAAGCCGAGATTGGTGGGGACCTGGGGGCCCGTCCACCCCCCACCGGGTCCCCAGCAGGTTCGGGCCCTGTCCACCGGGGTCAGCCCGGGATCAGAATGCAGAGCTCGGAGGCACCATGAGGCCACGTACACTTGATGAAACGCAGTGCTGGCAACAAACATGCATGACTCGTCCGTCAGATATACGACGGAAATCGAACTCACAAATCCTTCCAGGAGCTAAATCATGTAATTGACCGCATTCAGGACATGTCATGAATGATGCATGTTGGCATGCGGACATGATCAAACACATGACCATTGACATCATGGTGTCCGATTGAAACGAATCCCTGGACATATATACAAGCTTCGAACAGGCCAGTGACTCATGTTTCCATGACATGACTGCCCATTCCGCAAACCTGACACAGCATTAACAAGCATGGAACCGTGACAACGCATGCGACACTTCACTGAATCTCATGTTTTCCCCATGCGCAGAGACCATCTCGATGATTCGTCAGCAGCGAAGATCATCGAATGGTCATTGCCTGAGCCCATCAGATCGGTGCACGGAATCGCGAAATTCGCAACATACATAGCATGAGATCGGCATGTGACGGTCATGGCTAGCGCTTCATATACCTCTCATTTTTCTCAGGTGCCCAGAGCGACGTGCCAATCCAAAAGTTCGGACTCTTACATCAGGGGCAACATCTGTCTCCCAGCACGTGTATAACCGAACTTCGTTGTAAATTCAAACAGGTTTATTTTGCAAATGCTACGTAAAGTTGCTGCAGAATCTGCACCCGGTACACGAGTCGACGTCAGAATCACTCCGTTCACTTGAGGAGGTGCTTTCCCCAGCGGCAAAGGTCCTTTTTGGTCTTGGCAGCCTCGCTTTTGTCTTTCCCCTTGCCTGCAAGGCACAAACGAAACCCACAATGTCATGACGAGGCATCATTGTTGGGCAATCATTGTTGGACAATGCATGTGCGCTACACGTTTGCGATGGTTGTGTTTCTGTTGATGTCATTTTTTTACATGTATCGTACGGTTGTCTGTGTATGTGGTGCGAGTCGTCCTGAACTTAGTCCTTGGTGCAACAACCTCCTTGTGTAGCGCGCAGGTGTCGTAGCTAAATTTCACGGGCCAGGCGTGGCCATGCAAGTACGCACTGTATTGGTTCACTTAAAAGTCAAATCTGATCGGCAGTTTGTCAACCCTTGCAATGCAGTTTGTAATGAAATCTATGTGTGTAGAGTACAAAAAATGAAGCTGATCCTATTGTTTAAGCATTCAGTCCTGCAAACACCGCATGAGTCATGAGTTGCATGAGTCATGAGCTCATCGGCATGTACATGAATGCCATGCATGGCACGACTTGACATCATCATGTAAACCATGAGGACTGATTCATGAAACATTTTAGAATCGGCGTTGTGGAACGCGAGTGGCATTCACATGCACCGTGTATGGGTCGTCAAAACGTTGGTGAAACGGTCAAACGTGGCTTGTGTACATGACGCTCATGTCCGACTCATGTCTGATGTCTCATGATCGTCAATCGTGAAAGCCATGAACTCAACCAGCATGTCACAAAGAGCCGACAGAATGTGACTACGCCGCTGATGGCAGATAGCGAGCCTAATGAACAGGCCATACAAACGTGACGAATGTGAAAAGTGACTTCACCTGAATATTTACGCATACAGCCAGCCTCGTCCTGTTTGATACATTGATACGTGAACAACACAAATGTTCACGTTCCGTGCCTTTGCCTTTCTTGTCGCCCTTGCCCGGCGTCTTGAAGTAGTTGATCGCGGCCTGCATCCCAAGCATGTCGGCTGCCACGTCCGACGTGTTGTCTGATGTCGATGCCGCTGCCGACATCCGCTCCTTCAATTTGGCTTCGGCGGCCGCAAGTGCTTCCGCCATCGCCTTCTGACGAGCTGAGCGCTCCACCCCGTCGTCTGACGCCGATTTCGCAATCGTGATCTTGGTCAGTGGCAAGGTATCGGGCATCACACAGGTGTCCATTGCTCGATCCAATGCTGCCTGCACGGCACCGTCCTCTTGCTCGTCTTTGACCTTCTCATCTGCAATCTGTTGCTCCAAATCGTTCTTGCGCTTGAGGCATGCCCGGAGGTCAGCATCGTCATCGTACTCGGCATCATCACCGCCGCGACCTGCACCTTTACCACGTCGCTGTTTCTTGGCTGCTGCCTTGGCTTCGCGGTCCTTCTTTTTGGTAGACTGCTTGACCATCGCCACGGCTGCCTTCTCCATTTTCTCCTTCTGTTTGTCCACTGCGGCCTGCAACTTTTCCATGATGCCATCAGCTGGGCGGAGAACCTGCATCTCGCAATCGCCAGAACCTTGATGTAGGAATGTAACATCGGACCGTCGCGTAATTCATAGCATGAGTAATCAGTAAATTAAATAGTTAATCGACGAAATCGAGATATCCGTATCCCATCAAGGTCACAAGCTCGACAACCCGACACCATGTAATTCAGCAGTTGATATGGAAAATCCATGGATTCAACACCACATGGTCACATGCTATGATATGGGATATAATCATGGAAAACATTGGCAATGCGGCAATGCACATGCAGACCTCGCGATGACGGGTGAAACGGGGAGCCAGGACTTGTCAATGTTAAAATCAATACTCACAGTACAGAACGACAGTATGTGAAATGGCATCAATGACGTGCTAAGGATGCACCATGGTCTCAAGCCAAATGGCAATGCGGCCAGTTCTCCATGACGGCCTTTCCGATCAACTTCTCTTTCTCCGTGTCGTCTTTGGCCAACCTGAAGACAAGCTCGGCAGCACAAGATGCGGATCCGTAGGGATCGGACTCAACGGGCTCCGACTCAGACATCTTCTTGTCATGCTCATCAGACTCGCCAGCATTGCGCTCGCGCCAGCACACGAAGTGCATCCGCGTTACCTCTTGATAGAGGTAAGCGTCTGCAGGCTTTGCCACGGGCTTGGCGTGCCACGCGGCCACGAGCACATCACAACCTGAGCTGGTGATGGACGACTCCTTGGGGTCCCTGGGCTGGACGTAAAAGTCCACCCCGAAAAGCCGGCAGAAATGCAATGCCCCCTTGGAGTGGGTGGTCGTGATTGTGCCTGCGAAGGGCAGTCGTAGGCCGTCATTCACTGGGACATTCATCCTACACAAGCCCTCTTTCTTGCTCTCGAAGTTCAGCACAATGGAGTCTTCCCCCCTGCAGATGGCCGAGTACATCTGCCACTGCAACATCTCCAGCTGCCGAGTCAAGACCTTGAAGAAGATCGTGTCCATGCTCTTGATCTCCAGGCTCTTTGCATGATCACTGTGGGATAGAACACCGGCAGCGGACATGACCTCGTCGGTGGTGCAAAAGGTGTTGACCTGGTAGAGAGTCAGCCGCTTCTGTTTGGCGCTTGCTCCTTCAGCGGAACCAGTACTCCGCGAGCCAGGAATTGCCGTGCCACTCTGACCGTTTTCGGATCCTGACTCTCCAGTGTCTCGGCTCGCTTCTTCACTCAGTAAGTCGACATGACGGATGATTCGGATGATGGTGATGATGGTCATGGTGGCAGCGCATGGCCACACGTGCCGCACATGTGTATATAAGGCATGCAGGCAGGCAGGCAGGCAGGCAGGCAGGCAGGCAGGCATTCGACATTCCTCAATACATGAACTGTATGGATCAACCGACCGAGTATGTATGGACCATGTGTCCATGGTCCATGGAGTCCATGGATGTGTGAATGCATGCATGCAATGCATGCGTGAAGTGTGAAGCTCATGAATTTCATGAACCATGCCTCATGAAGTCTACCCGTGTCATCATGTCGCAAGAACCGCACTCACATGATTCATGATATGAGCCGCACATGCACATGACTCATGACTCATGACCTTTACTGATACTCCGCGTTACATACCATCATGAGACCCAAATCATCTGTCACATGTCACATGATGTCACATGCGACTCACTAACGTTCTGATCGGAATGAATGGAAGCATGAAATCATGAGCATATGGCTGATATGGCTGACCTAACTACTATACAACAGTTGCCCGGCCCGACCTCCGTTGGCTTGATCATCGTCCTTACCATCAATGTCAATGTCGTTGGTGGAGCTGGAACGAAACAAAGATGCTGCCGTTATCGATTTTGCAGTCGTGCTGGAGGTCCCCTGTGTCGCATCCTTGGTGTCCAACCCCTCTGTGGCAGCGACCAGCTTATCATTGAATGACATCAGGTCGTCCGAGTCGGCCTTCTCGAGGATGGCAGTCCAGTCACGAGCCCAGTGGGTCGCGAACTGTACGGCGTCAAACGCGACCATGTTGCTAAAGCAGGGATCTGTCATTCGCAGTGCGTGCAGCTTTGGGATCAAGCCATCCAGCGGTTCGGACACCTGCAAGTGGATCCGTCCGGCTTTGCGAAGCACGAGCAACTCCTTCAACAGCTCCAGAAGATACGTTACACGAAGAGAGCAAGCCTTCTGGAGGTTGTCGACATTCCCGAACACCTCACGCGGCGTCACGCGAGCAACAAATCGAACGTCGAACAACATAATGATACGATGCATCTCATGAGGCTCATGAGCTCCTGATTCATGGGCCTGCATGGGTTCATGGACTCGTGTGTGATGTATGGGTGGGGTCATGAGACTCATCCCTACATGTCAAGCACAATCGACATGGCATGGAGATGTTGCAACGACATGTGTCGCTGCAGTGCCATTCCTACAGACTTACAGACATGAGCACCTACACACACAAACACAGACAGCACTAGGACCAGTGTTGGCGCCAGCCTCCTGAGTGCCCTCCACAAAGTGTTTTCGTTCTCCGTATGCTGCAGCGACATCGAAAGCGAAGCCGAACATGCCCGGGGGCAAGATGTTGCAAATGCCCGAGTAGAGCGAGGAGATAACATCCACCAACAGGTACTTCCTCCCGGCGGCACTCTCAGACAACAGAGAAGTCACCACATCTTGCACGGGCTGGTGCATGAGGATTGGCAAGTGGAGCTTCTGGGATATGTAGGCGGTCCAGGGCACCACGGTCAGCTCGCGATTGCAGGTCATGTGCTCACAAACGCTCCTCAGTGCCCGCTCGTCACCGTCGTCGTCCTCAGCCCACAAAATCTCGGACACAGGCTGGCTTGTGAGGTTCTCATTCAGCAACCTCGCAAGCTCCAAAGCATTGCAGGTCTTTTGGCCATCACTGTCAAGGGTCACAAACCCAGGCGTGTTCAGCGTCTCATTGGCATCCAAAAGGGTCTGCTGCAGATCGACTCGCAGCAAGGAGTATGCACGATGCTCCCGCCCAGCCACAGACACCTTGCCCTGAAACGCGAACTCGAGCCACAACGAGATACAGAAACCGAAGGTGTCCAGTGTGGCAGATTCCTCAGTGATCATGTCCTTGTTTTTCAGAAGACCCATTGCATAGTCAAGGGCACGGATGATATCATCGAGGGCCGTCAATGGTCGAGACTCTGTCGCTCCTGATGTGCAGGAAGTCACAACACCAGAAAACGAGGAACGCTCGTCGTCGCTGTAGCCCTTGATGGTGAGCCCTCTGGCAGATTTCTTGGTTTTCCGCTTCTTGCTGTCGGGTTCTTGTGCCTGTGCTTCTGCGGCATCTGCCTGAGCCTGACCGATGTCTCTGTCTCCTGCCGGGCGGCCCAGCTTTTTCGCTTCGGTATCCTTGAGTTGGATCTTCAGCGACTCCACCTGGGCCAACTCTGCCTTGACGGCCAGGCTTGGATTGATTTTGCTCTTACCGGTGCCTTTAGCACTCATGGCTCCACCACGGCCTTCTGCACCCTCCCCGGCCCCACCAGTGCTCAGTGCCATTTTCCTCACGACGGAGCTGGTAGCGTGCGTCCGACTGCTCGGGAGTGAGGTGACACCGGCACCTTTGCTGGTTTAGGGTTCCGTAGAGTTCGCAGAGCAAGACGGGGGGGCCTGGCTGAGAAGGGCCAAGGGCCCCAAGACGGTCACCAGCGAAAGTCCGGTGTCGGTGGTGTAGGTACGGGCAGAAATATATGGCATACGGACTGACGACGTCGGTATAATAGGGTTAAGAGTCAAGCAAACATTTTCGGATTTATGTTTTAGTTACTGTTCATGTTCAAAATCTACAGTCGACAGTCAACGGTCTGTCTGTGCAGAGTTTGGTAGGGTTTGGTTTTGTGATTTGGGCCAGTTCGACGTGTTCCCACACCTCTACTTTGGGAACTCAGTGTTCCAAGGGCTCAATGGTTTAAGGCTCGGCTCGTGGCTATGTGTAGGATTCAGTCGTCCTGATCATTGTGCCGGGCTGTCGAGAGTAAGCTTGCAGGATTGAAATAGTGAATCAATACAATGAGTCATGAAGCTCATGAGAAACATGTCCCTACACATGCAACATGCGGCGTCACGCATTGCAACATGACAAGCCTAAAACGGGAGTGAAACGAATGCAAACAACGCAATCACGCATGCTAACATGAACGTATGTGAGACCGACGGTGGCACATCGCATATAACTTGACGGATGGCTCATGCTGCCGAGTGCTGCAGCACATGAATATGGGGCGGGGTCTGGTGGGGTGGTGGAACCAGTGAGTGAGCAGGGCCGTACCTAAGACACACGCGGCGTCCTACAAGCAACACAACACGACCACCGCTGAGCACGGGACACAGGCCTTCACGGCCTCGAATATGATGATACCGATTTTGGCCTTGAGGCAATATTTCTTTTGGGACGTCACAATGAGAGACGTGATGGCGTGCATGGTGTTGATGGTGTTCTGTGGCTCATATCGGGGGTCCAGAAAGTCCACGAAAGCGTTGGTCCACTGTACGACTTTGTCGTAGACGCCGTAGTTCTGTAGATGGTGTGCTAGAGCGAGTGCCGTGTAGTAGGGGTTCTTCTGCTTGAAAAACCCGTTGAACTCCGGACTACTGCCTTTGCTCAGTATAAAGGCGTCATATGCAGCGGAATAGCGGGGGTTGTACGTGTTGATCTGGATGACGCGACACTCTGCCCGCCAAGCGTGCTCTATGCCCAGTGCCTCTGCCAGGAAGTCGAGGTGGTTTTCCCCGCTGCCCTGATGGAAGGCGTTGAGGAGGACGATGACCTTTTTGAAAACGCAGTCCGGCGTGCGTTCATGCAAGACCTTGACCTTCCTCAACCCTCGAGTCAACGCGTTCTGGACCATCGGGTGGTCCGGCTGCTCGTCTCGGCAGCGGTAAAAGGCCTCCGCGCGGTGGTTAAAACCACCGGCAGATAGCGGAAGGGTGTGATCAGCCGTCCGGTACCGGAAGATCGCTTCACCTGTTTGCTATGGCATCTGCAGTGTTTATGTGCGTGTAGTAGTGCAAACGAAAGAGGGGGAACCGTCGGGAACAGAATGGATGGATAGAGCCTGGATAGAGATATGGAGAGAGCCATAAGACTCATGTTTAAAATGTGTGTGTGAATCATGAACGTCACATGCTACCCTAACGCCCAGACAATGCCCCCGGCCCATGCCCCATGGCCCCATACCGCGCCCCAACTGGATGTCATGATATGCACTGCATGTATGGCCCCGTGGCACCTGTGTGGGAGTGATGTCCTACATTCCCATGAAACCCGCACTAGTCATGATGAGCCAGTGGTGCACATCAGTGTCCCACGGTCACAACGATCATCACCAACCACGAGCAGGTCGATCACTAACATGGCATGGACGTGGAAGCATGAAGTGGTACATGAGTCAACAAAGCATGGGGAACGACCCCACCCCGCAGTCGCCATGAGAATCATGTCACGCTACGCGCATGCGGCATCATGTCATATTCTCGTGTCACGCAGCATGTGCACTGGACAGAGCAATCCAACAACGCATCCGTCTAAATACTGCGTCACTGACAAGAAACCATGAATACCATGAACCCTGAACCCAACCCCGGCACACATGAACAAAAAGCAATAATGTGGAGGCATGTACCGGCAGGCCTGAGACCATCTGACTCAGGCCTTCGTTCCATATGCGTGTCATGTAGCGACTGACCGTTGCCTCTTGAATGGGCCGGCTCAACTCCGATCTAACGACCGTGCGAGTCCCATCGTCGGAGAACCAAGGGATATCCAACTCATCGGCCTGATAGAATTCCAAGCACTTCTCCAGCAAAGCTGCTCCTTGAAGGGATCCGAACAGTTGCTGAATGCTGGTGACGTTCTCAAAGAGATCGGAGTCTTTGACATCGGCACGTGTCTTGTTTGACAAGAGACCACTCTGTTGGGAGTCTTCATGCCCGGGGTGCTCACGGCGATGCGACGCTGCACTTGCAACCGCTGTGGCTGATGATGCTGACGACTGGTTCACCATGGTGACGGTGGCGAGTCGAAGGTCGGATGTCACAAGTCGCGTAAGGGCGACAGGACAAGCTGTAGGTTGCGAGCCGACACACAGCAAGTCAGCAAGTCTCTATGACATGAAGACATGTGAAGACGTGTGGAAATGCTGTTGCCCCGCCCGCCCCATGTAATGCATGTTGCAGATCATTCGGCAAACAAGGTCATGCTAGGTGAGCTACCCCTTCGCCAGGTGATCGCGAGCTCACGTGGTATCTCACATGTCCTCAGAACACACAACATGACACTACTACAACTTGATTCTTCATCACACCAGAGGCTGATGGTCCTGGTTACCCCGTTCCGACGTTCTGCCGTTCCGATCTCCAACAGATTGTTTTCGAAGCATGGCCTCAGTGCCCAGTGCAAGAAATGCTTCGCCTGTGAATACATGTGACGCTGTGACGCAAGCTCGTGCAGAGTCACTCACTGCAAGGTCTAGGCATGGTGTCCACTTTTGTCGCGTCGTTCTGGTTGTGTGTGGTCGTCGCAAATCACATCCCCAATACTTGAGCCCCAAAACGGTCCAAAGTGGACATGGCCGTCGCCAATGGTCCCTATGGTCATGTTCCCCTGTGGTGTGAACTCACTCAAACTAAATATTTAACAATGCAAATCTATATAACTCATGAATCACAAAATAGTGAGATCCCACCAGCCGTTCTATACATGTGCCACGGAAGGCTCATGTCTGACGACCAAATTAAACGATGCAGAGCACGAGTGCAGTGCAGGATGCAGCACACTTAGCATGCATGCATCATACTGCACTACACAGTCGGCAAATGCACACTGTTCGATGGACTCCATGGATGTAAATGCAGTGAACACATTAATATCCCAATCAATGACATTGAACAGTCCTTGCATGTGAATGGAAACAAATCACGGGTCATGAGCCATGATGTATATGACAGTGAGCAACTGCCGTCGCGTCGTGTGCATTGACATCGTTGGTCTCATGTGACTCATGTGACTATGATCGAAGACAAACTTTGTGCATTGATTCATGACCTGGCTCATGCATGAATCCTCAAGCCTATCAGGGCCTATCATGATCATGGCAACATGGCAGACTCATGTCAGATGTCATGTGTACGTGGCGGTAACATGTGGCATGCCGTGCGTATGGTTTGCCCACACGACAGAACCGGCGATCCACCATTGGACTCATTGGACCATGGCCATGACCATGATCGCATTGAACATCAAGCATACATGTCAGCGCGTGCCGTGCTCTTGCCATTGACTCGGAAGCGCAACCTCTTCACAGGTGGCTCGTCGTCGAAGTTCCGGATGCGCCGGTCCGTCATCCTGCACACATGTAGCAATGCTTGGACCCGTGTGTCCACAAGTTCACTACTACGAAGACAAACAAAGCAATTCTAGTGAGGCTCCGAACAACCAAAAACAACACCCCGGCCCCAGTACTGTCCGCATGGCACGGCGGGACAAACGGATGTTTGCCACGATGTCTGGCAGCTGTCGTTGCTCGTAGGAAAGCAAGCCATGTAGGCTCACAACCGTCATGACAATGATGTTCATGCTGTTCCCAGCCTGAGCCATCATAGATCGTGACGTCCGTCCCTCCCTGGGAAGGTTGAAGCTGCAAAGAACCGGCGTGTCATCTGGTGATACTCCCCACAGACCAGGAACTATGGGGAAGGCTTGCGTCACCAGCGCTTCACTGCCCATGAGCCACCGGGCAGGGACAACGGATGAATGTTGGGTCCAAAGCATGTGTAGGTTGGCAATGATGGTCTGTAAGTGCCGGTCGGTGGATGTGTTCGCAAACCCCGTGGCCGGGTTCTGATTAAGTGCCCATACCTGGTTCGGGTGAACAAGTTCATAGGATGATCGGATGGATTCCTCTCCTGTGTTCAGGGCAGCAAGCCACACCTCTGGGCGAAGCACATCCGACGGTTCCAATTGATCAAGGCCAAAGTCAACAGCCTGGCTGGTTGGTCGCCTACAAGCCCATTCCAGCTCCTGCAGCAGTTCGTTCTTCACCGGAAGATCGCTCAGGATTTTGTGTCTGTAGAAGTACCTGGACGGATCATGGAAGTATACAATATGTAAGAGGGCTGACTCGCATGTCGCATGACACATCGCACCCACATGTCACATGCACACTGTGGCACAGGACTCAGGACTCACATGCAGAATGACATGGACCAACTAACAGAACCAATTCATGGCACATGAGCTGACATGGACATGAACGATGACATGTGCCGCGTTGATTCAGCGAATTAATGCCTTGCACTCCGACAATTCAGTCTGCATGACGAGCTTTGATTGATTGGGCATGACTCACATGACCACATGCATGATGGTAACCACGTGTGCTAGTATGTGTCCATGCTACATGGAGCGGGGGAGTGGATGAGTGGACGAGTGAGTGAATGCCCGGTGCGACGATCTCGACTGACGAGTTGCTCCGACCAGTGATACTTCACGGCCCTGAAGAAGCGTGTCGAGAACCGGGCCAACGGGGAGATCTCACCAAGGACCTTCTCCTTGTGTCGCAGGCGGATAAACTGCCTCCGGCGTGCGCAGGCACAGCCGAATTGTACAGCATCCAGTTCACATACCTCCATGTAGTATATGCTGGAGACTGCCTGCTCAATGACATCCGGAGGAAACCCCACCACGTTCTCCTGTGTCACATCTGGCTCTTGCAGAAGCATTCGCAAACCCAGCCATGCCATAAAGTAAACGATCTCCTGGTCATTGCATCCTAGCCCGGAACCCCGTTTCGAAAAAGGCCGGCAACTGGTGCCTGCAATGTGCCGATTGCAGGTCTTTAGACAACAAGTGCGGCCATGCACTAGGCAATGTGCACTTGTCTGCACCAGCCGATTGGTCCGGAGCAATGGTTGAAGAACTTCAAGAGTCATAGCAGGCTTCGCAAGGAGCTGTGGTATCACGGAGTCCTTGAGCTCGCTCCTGAAGAAATCAGCGATGTTACCAAACACACATCCACCCCCCTCGTGCCGGGCAGACAGCAAGCACTCTGCCTGTGCATCGGGCGACCATTCGATCGCGTGAGACAGGTTGTGGTTGTTGCATTTGACTTCCCTACCCAGTCGCAGACCAAGCCGGTAGCGCATCACTGACATTGCCGTTTCTGGGGCACGTACACCTGAGTAAGCCGTTGACAAGCTGTCGTCTTCGAGAGATCTGGCCAGTCGCTCCCATGTGTCGAGTCGTTCATCTTCCGACATACCGTCGACCATCTTGTCAAAGCTGAAATCCCAAAAGTCAAACATGCCATCCAAGTCATGGACGATGGATCGCTGTAGCAGTGTGGCTGAAGGCTGACACTTGGACATGGGCTTGTGTGCATGTGTGCTATGTGCAGCCTCTGAAGTGGCATTGCCCGGACATCCTACGTCTGTGGCATCGGATCCTTCAGCTGCTTCTGGGGGAGGGGCCGCGGGAGGGGCACTGAACAGCTGCCGGATGCTTTCGACGGTTGGGGCATTACACTGGCCAGCTGTTGGGTCGGATGGTGCAACAGCCTGTGAGCCGTCAGTGGGCGGTGGAGTGGCATCAGGCTGCTTCGGGCTGCATTGAGCGGTTGGGTCGGATGCTGTGATACCGTTACGATAATGAGAAGCCGGAGCAGACTGAGGCTGAGGAGGGACATCTTTGATGCCAAACAGACACCGCATGCCTTCGATGGTTCGGAATCCCATGCGCGTGTCGCGCGGTGATGCTCTGGTCTTGGTGGCATTGGTATTAGGTCTGGGAGACTTCGCTGCCACACTTCCTGGTGATTGTGCTGGTGTTGCCTTAGACTTCACATGTGGAGTCTGGCTGGGAGTACGTGTGGTGGCATGTACGCACGGTCCCGCCGCTGCCGTTGCTACTGATGATGGGTTGTTGTTCTGGCTATGTGTAATATCAGGTTTGGCGCCCTCCACTACACCGTCTTTCTGCATATGTGCAATCTCAGGAATCTCAGGCTTGACGGCAATGTCGTTTTCTGGTTTGGCCGTCGCCGCTGCCAATGCCGGGTCGCACTGGTTGTGCGCCGTCTCAAGTTTCACTGCCGATGCCTCGTCGTTCTGGTTGTGTGCCATCGTGGGTTTGGCCGTTACCGTTACCCCTGTTGATGCTGGGATGTGGTTGTCCTGGTTGTGTGTCATCTCAGGTTTCACTGCCAATGCCTCGTCGTTCTGCTTGTCTGTCATCGCCTCTGATGATGCTGGGATGTCGTTGTGTGCCATCTCAGGTTTCACTGCCAATAGTGTGTCGTTCTGTTTGTGTGCCATCGCCTCTGCTGATGCTGGGATGTCGTTGTGTGCCATCTCAGGTTTCACTGCCAATAGCGTGTCGTTCTGCTTGTGTGCCATGGTCATGGTGGGTTTGGCTGTCGCCTCTGCTGATGCTGGGATGTCGTCGTCCTGATGGTTACGTGCCATCTCAGGTGTGGTTGCCGATGCCTCGTCGTTCTGCTTCTGTGCCATCGTGGGCTCGGCCGTCGCCCCCGCTGGTGTTGTGATGTCGTCGTTCTGGCTGTGCGACATCTCGGGTGTGGCCGTCGGTCCTGTTGATGATGGGATGTAGTCGGTCTGGTTGTATGCCATCTCGGGTCTCACCTGGCAACCAACACCCAAGATACTCCGACAACCGAGATGAATGAGAAAGAAGCAGCAATAGTCAATAGTCAATAGTCGATAGCTGTGCTTACTATTCCGAGAAGCAGACACGTGCCACCAGAATGATGCAACCGGGCAGCATGGAGGCATCTTCACATCATGGAATCATGAATGCATAGACTGACTGAACCCTAAACACCTGGCCAACATGGTTATTGCTGCTGACGTGTGCAACGCAGTGGCAATCATGACAGTCATGACTTCGATGTGAACCACATGGTTCATGACTTGCACGTCGTGGGCGAATGTCCCATACACGATATGCCCTCAAGACTATGTGATGATCGTACGTCTCACGTCTAACCATGCATTATGCAGCCCATGCATTGCCCATGTGACATGCATCATGTGCCTCATTCTCGGAGTCGACAGAATCTACAGGGTCATTGCAGTAGATGGTTTCCATCAGGTTCTCCAGCTCCAATTCGAGATCATCTCGTGATTCCATATGAACCGTCGGAGACACGAGCGCAAAGGGTGAGCTCAGGCTATGTGCACCATCTGTCAAATCACTCGGAAGGAATTTGACCCACTCCTTGTTCATGACCTGTGACACTCTCAAACCAATCAACAAAAGGGCCATGTGAACGAGGCTTACGTGTTTTATTCTGTCAGCATTCCCGCCTCCCCCACAGGTCTGACCAAGTACTTGATCGGGTCGAAAGCTTCCACGAGTTGAACTTTCCAACCCTGGAGTTTGCACGCGGAATGACTCTTGGATTGCAAGGCATGAAGCTCTTCCTCCGTACAGAAGTGGCGCTGGAAGTGCTCACTGAAAGTCGAGGCCTCCAGTGTTTCGTTGCCTTGAAATTCCAATATCCCGTGGCATGGCAAGATGGGACACCCTTGTTCGTTTTTTTTGTGCCCGCTTGCCATAATGTAGATCCTGCCGCCCACTGGCACACACCACAGTTTGTGCTTTCTGATCTCCAGGGTTTTCTTGCTGTCAGGATATCCTACGTCTTCAGCTGAAATGAACCTCTTCGCGTGGTCAGGCCGCAAAATGAGGCCTCTCACCTGATCGTCCGCACTGGACGCTGGTACTGCACTCATGGCAATGAATTTACACAGCTCAACAGACTGTCAACGTGAAACGAACTGACTAACTACTGGCAACTACTGGTGTTCTGGCTACTGGAGTCTGGTCTGAGCTGCAAGCAACTTCGTGTCATGAAAGTCAGCTCAGAGTCAGCACTCGGCACGACGGTAGATGACATCTGAAACACCAGCCAAACTACAACGTGGTCCAACAAAGTGACCATCGCCAGCAAAGCAACAGAGTGTTGATGTGTTCGGGTCCGTGCATGCGTGTCTGTGTCTGTGGCTGTGGTTGTGTCTGCGTCCGGGTCTGTGTCTGTGGCTGTGTCTGTGTATGCGTCTGCGTCTGCATCTGTGTCTGTCTGTGTGTGTGTGTGTGTGTGTGTGTGTGCGCGTGTGGGCGTGTGGGCGGGTGGGTGGGTGGGTGGGTGGGTGTCTGTGTATGTATGTGTGTGTGTGTGTGTGTGTGTGTGTGTGTGTCTGTGTGTGTGTGTGTGTGTTTGTGTTTGTGTTTGTGTTTGTGTGTGTGTGGGTGTGTGTGCAGTGTGTGGGTGTGTGGGTGTGTGTATGTGTGTGTGTTGTGTGCTTCCTCGAGTCACGAGTCCATCGTGAAGGATACCCTGATACTCTATATATATATATATATATATATGTGTGTATTTAAATTTCGTTTTTTGTGTGTCAGGTTTTTTTTAGCCGGAACGCAGTTTTATGTTAAAGTCACACACACACACGCTTTTTTGTTATTTTTTTACATTTTTATTTTTTTTGCATTTTTATTTCTTATTGTTTTTATTGTTTTTTTGATTTTGTATTTTTTCATTTTATTTTTTTTACATTTTTATTTTTTATTGTTTTATTGTTTTTTGATTTTGTATTTTTTCATATTTGTTTTTTTAAATTTTTTGATTTTTATGTTTTTATTTATTTATTTATATATTTTTTTGTTTTTTGCGGGAGAGTCCGGACCCAGGGCTCCTGGGGACGAGCCGGCCCAGGCTCCTGGAGCCCCGGCCTGCTGGGGACCTAGGTCCCCAAAAGCCTGGGCCCGGGCTCCTGGAACCCAGGTCCCCAGGAGCCTGGGCCCGGGGCTCCTGGGACCCAGGTCCCCAGAGGAGCCTGGGCCTGGGGACCCAGGTCCCCAGGAGCCTGAGCCCGGCTGGGGACCCAGGTCCCCAGCCCAGGTCCCCAGAAGCCTGGGCCCGGACGTCCCCAGCAGGAGCCTGGGCCCGGGTTCCTGGGGACCCAGGTCCCCAGGAGCCCTGGGTCCGGACTCTCCCGCAAAAACACAAAAAAAATATACAAAAAAATAATATCAAAAAAAAATTAAAAAAAAATAAAAATAAATACGAAAAAATACAAAATCAACAAAAATAAAAAAAATAAAAATATGAAAACAAATAAAAAAATAAAAATATTAAAACGAAATTACAAAATACAAAATCAAAAAATGTATTTAAGTAACATGTGAATTGGTATCCTTCACCACGTGTGGGTGTGTGGGTGTGTGGGTGGGTCAGTGGGTGCAGTGGGTGTGTGTGTGTGTGTGACTTTAAGATAAAACTGCGTGACGGGAGGGTGTGTGTGTGTGTGGCTTCTGTCACATGTCTGTCTGTCTGTATGTGTGCGGGTGTGCGGCAGCCTATGAGTCACATGATCCCATGGCTGTGTTTGTATGTATCAATCCGTAAGCTTGTACGCTCTAGCTAGCAAGAACAATCTGCACAGTTCTGCGGCGCGGTCTGAGGCCTTGACTGCGTGACTACCTGCATCGTTAAAAGCAAGCGCTTCATGTTACCATGGGCACATGTTACCATTACCATGTTGACTGGAAGATGCACAAGCATGACACTCAACACATGGATCGAATCTTCACTTTTCCAGCACCTGTACAGCAGAGGTGTGCTCCGGTCTTAGTCGGACGATTCCGAGTCGGAGTCTGAAATGTCGATGACCTCCACGTCTGTTGTTCTGCTCCTGTCGTAGCCACCATTGAGCGGTATGGTGAAGCGATGTTCGCCGTGGTCAAAGGTGCCATAGGGATGGTAGTGGTGGTGGTGGTGATGGTGAATGTGATGAACCGGGTGATTGTGAATGTAGTGGTGTTGGTGAGTGTGATGATGTTGCGAGTAGTAGCGGTTCTGGACCGGGTGATGATGGATTTCATGGTTGTGTGAATAGTGGATCTCGGTGGGGCGGTCCCGGGTGGATGGGTGGTGTTGGTGGACATATCGTTCCAATGCCACAGCATCCGAAGAGCCCACACCTGCGGCAGCATCCCCCTGCCCAGGATGTGAAGTATGCACCTCCCCCGAGCTTTGAGACTCGTGGTCGCAATCAAAACTCTCGGAATGGATGCTATATCCATCGTCAGCAGCGGATTCGTGACCCTCAGCCTCACCCTCATCCTCACCTGCACCTCGCATGCTGCGAGGGGACCCTGCCGAGGACCCCACTGACGCCGATACAGGTACAGGATCTGCTGTAGTCACGTCAGATGGGGCTCGGGAGATTGTGGAAACCAAGTGGCCAGCATCATTATCTGAATCAACCAGCCCCTCATCTTCTTCTTCAACCTCTTCCTCCACAATGGGAGCCGCCAAGCCCAAGTCCGAGTCTGAAACGGAGTCAGTGCCAGTGCCAGGCTCGGATTCAAATCCAGGGGCGGCATCAGCATCACCATTCATGGCGGACATCATGCCGAGTGCCCAGATGGACTCAGGATTCCAGGATAAACACTGAATAAATAAGCACTCACTTCAACACTTCAACCGTGACGTTCGTGAAACTGATGAATAATGCAATGAATGCATGCGAATGCATGTGACAATCATGCGGGCAGCAATGTACATTGTACATCTGTCCTGTCATGGGGCCGTCTTGATACAACATGAGACAGAGGCATCACTAATCACTGAAGAATCATGTCATGCACCATGAAACATGGACTCGGGCTCTTCAGCATGAGCATCCTGCAAACACGGACTCATGGCATGGATCACATGACCACCACATGGACTCATGCACTCGTGTACAAAGCCCTAGCCTAGCACATGCCCCATCTAACAGCAAGGCGACTGCGGCGACTGCTACGACTACTGTACTGACTGTCCATAACATGATGTGCACCTGAGTGCACCTCGGTGTTGGTCACGCGCTGTGGCTGTGGCCTGTCACAAAAGCAGGTTGATTTATGTCACGAATCGTCACTGAGTCACTGAGGCACTGAGAGTCACAAAAGCCATGACGTCGTCCAATGTCCCGCCTGGCTTTTGGAGTCCGTGACAGACCTGAGTGGGTCGGTATTCATATCATGCAAGTGTAACTAACCAGCCAGTCAATCAAACGGTGCAAGCAGTTCAAGCAAACGTCGAACAGCAACAGGCAGACAGGCATGAGCTTCTTTTTTTGGTCGCCCAGCTCGGCCACGATCTGTTGTCACGTCAGAGCCCATAGCCACTGCCACCCATTGCCCATAGCCACAGCATCCGTCCTTAGTTGGATATGCGAGAGTGACATGGATGTATGAGTTCACCAAATTGCATCTGTCGAGTGCATCCAAGCGGCATCATAGTTCCCGGCTCCAGCCCATCAGTCCACGTCTGTGTAACATTTTAGCATGTGTCAGTCAACGTGACATGTGTGGCATGAGCATGGACTCAATGGACTCCAATGAACATCGACCATGCGACCTCCAGGCTCACGTTCGTCGTTGCCGGACTCGGGCTCGTGCTTAACGGCAGCGCTGGGTGCGGACTGCGCTGCCTACACCGATCGTGACTCAGGGGAAGATGAGCTGACTCACACACATGTGACATGAACGGACACATCATGTCATCATGAATCATCATCATGCCTCCTCAGATGACCGTGGATCCGTGGACGGGCTATCCATGGCATAGTACTGCCGGACAGCCTCCTGTGTCGCTGGCGACAAGTCCTCGTCAACGTCCGGCGCAGACGGAACTTTTGGCTGAGCCACCTGTCTCGCCCTTGCCCTCGGCACGGAGCGTCTGGCCACGGACTTCTTGGGCACGGGCATGGGGCCCTTGGCCAAGCTCTTGGCCACGGAGCCTTTGGGAATCATGGTCTTGGGCGGTGTCGCTGTCTTCGGTGCGATGGCCTGGGCCACGGAGCCTGTGGGGGTCGTGGTCTTGGGCTTGGGCGGCGTCGCTGTCTTCGGTGCGATGGCCACAGAGCCTTTGGGGGTCGTGGTCTTGGGCGGTGTCGCCACAGAGCCCTTCTTGGGTGCCGGTGTCTTGGCCACAGAGCCCTGCTTGGGCCGCTTGGGTGTCGGCGTCTTGGGCTTCGTCCGTTGCACATTACTTGCCTTCGCCTGACGTCTCACACCCACTGACACGGAGAAACTAAGAGTCGCGTTCGTGGTACCCAGGCCGCAGTACACGCCACTCGTAAAATCTATTCAAATGAAACAACAACTTACACACACCAAGCAAACAGCATGAATGACATTGAAATGACGACGACCAAGTGTGAGACTGGGAGTCACAGGAGTCACTGGTCACGGTCACGTGATCACAATAGTGGTAATGCAGAACATGTTGTCCATGGAGTCCATGGTGCAGATGGAGTGACGTGAATGCACTGCATCAATACATCATGCGAAGTGGCACGTGGCCGTATGTGTATGGCCGGGCCGTGCAGAATGGATGTGGCAACATCGGCAACATGCATGCATGCAACACGTCATGTTTGATGGGTCACCTTGGATTCCACACCGTCGGACCGAGAAGCACATACACGCGGGCATAAATCAGCACACACTGTCACACTGACACACTGCTACTGCAGCATTCCCATGTTGGCCTTTGCGTGGTTGCTGCTGCTGCTCGACGACGACGAACTGGACGCTGGGGTTGTGCTGCTGCGACTCTTGCGACGTCGCCGGGATCTCGATCGTGTTGCCTGGGCGAGACTTCGTGAAAGTGACACAGTCTCGTCTCATGCAAGAGTCATGCACTCATGTACCGAGAGACCTAAGTTGAATGCGGGAATGCTGGCTGGAGACCGATCTCTTCTTGCGACCTCTTTCTTCTGGCCGGCGTTCCTTGACTCTCCTCGATTTTGTTCTCGATCGAGTCGATGCCTGCAAGGCCAGGATGTTCAGGTGATATTGTCTGGTACATGTGACTGTGACATGTGACCGTGACCGTACACTGGTACACTGTACACTGCCGTACACTGCGGTCCAAGGACCGATCTATGACGCTGCCGGCGGCTTCTGCTGGAGCTGCGGCGGCGTCTGCTGGAGCTGCGGCGGCGTCTGCCGGAGCTGGAGCGTCTGCCGGAGCTTGAGCGATGTCTGCCTCTGCCGGAGCTGGGTGGCCTGGGCGGCGTCGGCGTTCTGGAAGGAAGTGCCTGGCGTGGCACTAAAAATGCTGATGATGATTCTTATGATATCAGTGTTGTTGTTCATGGACGAGATACCGTCTGGCGCAGGATCGGAATCTGTGGCTCTCTCGGGCCTCTCGGCCAAGCAGCCTTAGCTGTCGCAGCCTTTGTGGCCGTCTGTCACAACTAGACTATACATTGATGATTAGGCATCACCCGTGAACTGTAGCAAATGATGTTTGACATGACACAAAGTCCTGGACTGGCGTCCATCCTGCCGGTCTTGCTGGCGACGTGTCCTGAACAGCGGCACCGGCATGTGTATCAAAAGAACTGGCATGGCACATAAAGTCACATAAATGATGCGACAAGCGGCAGCGTCATCACTCGCCACCGTCGCCGTCGCCGCCTCATTGGACTCTGTGACCTGAGCGTACCCAGCGAACCAGCGAACCGAGCGATAAGTTACAACGTCACCTATCTCATACTCATGTTCACATGTTCCAGCTCGGCGACGTTCGGCACCGAAGCCGGGGGCTGGCTGTCAACAGCCTGAGACGTCTTTCGCTGCAAAACCGCGACGCATCACGCTTTGATCTATCAGAATCTGTCTCTCTCATGCAATGTGCCAAATGCCTCATGAGCATCTGCCCTGGACTCCGTCGGCAGTGGTGTACTCGTTACCTTGGTTGGCAGCAATGAGGGATAGCATGGGGATTCGGGATCACCTCACTCACTCAAGACTCATGATGCTACTGGTCAGAAGTGCCAAATGTCTTGCGAGCAGCAGCTTCCTTGGAGTCCTTGGAGTCTTCCCCGGTCTGTGTCGGGAGCGACGCAGTCGGTACCTTTGCTGGCAGCAAGCAGGGATGTCATTGCGATCACTCCAACCATGACTCATGCTGCTTACTGGTCAGGAGTGCCAAATGCCGCCCTGCGAGCCTCTGCCTCGTTTGCCCCGGACTCTGTTGGCAGCGGCGTGTCCGTTACCTTTGCTGGCAGTTAAGGAATGGCATGGAAATCACTGCACTGCACTCATGATGCTACTGGCCAAAAAAGTCTTCAATGCAATTCCTAGCTGCCTCCGTCGGAACAGATGAAAACGCCACGCCGCAACTCGAGTAGAGCGAGTCGTGGATGGAGTTGCAGTCATGGCTGTACGGCTGTGGCACACGCGCATGCAACGGTGGCACCGGCGTGTCTGCCAATGCTGGCACCGTCGGCGAAGTCGGAGTCGACGGTGAAGTCGGCGTCTTCACACCCGGTGCTTGGGTGGGCTTTGGGGTGGCCGCCCTCTTGGAGCCCTTGGAGTCCTTGGAGCCTGTGGACTCTTTGGACTGCTGCTTTGCAGTCGTGCCGGCCGGGCCGGCCTCGTCTTGAGGTGGTGGGCCCTTTGGTGGCGGCATCGGTGGTGGCCCAGGTGGCGGTGGCGGGGGGGGAGGAGGAGGGCTTCTCGAAGGCTTTGCCCTGCATGCCGCCATGAAGGGGAAGCCTGGCATGACGAAGGGCCCCGGCATCACAGGCGGCATCACAACGACGGGGATCGGGATGCCAAACGGCCTGCCAAACGGCGGTGGCGGCGGTCCCCGTCCCCTCAGCCACTGGGGCAGTTTTGCCGGCGGGGGCAGGTTGATGGTGGCCCAAGGGTTGCGGGGCTTGGGAACCCCTTGGCCCCCTTGGCCACCCTCACCATCATTCCCATCCTCTTCTTCTTCATCCTTTGCCACCTCCTCCTGGGCGGGTGGCTCCGATGGCCCCGACTCATCCGCCGGTCGCTCCGGCTCCTCTTCGGCCGGTGGCTCCTCTTTCTTGGCTGGTGCCATTATGTTGTCGGATGCAAATGTTGTTGGATGCAGAAACCTGAACCTTTCGGCTACTGTCTCACGAATGTCATGCGAATGTCATGTCATCTGTCTGTCAATGTTCTAAGTCACTAGTGCCATGAGTCCATGAGCGTGACACAATTGTGGTTGGCTTGAGCATGACACACTGCACTGATATTGCACTGACCCATGGACCAATGGAAGCAAGCAAATCACTGCCAAACGCCACGCAAGAAGAACACATTTGGACTTGTCTGCACCTGCACAACTCCAAGCCCCGGGCATCGATGTTGCAGCGTCCGGTGCCACGTCCGATTCAAACCTGCGTTGTAAGGGCTTGAGTCGACTTAACTGTGTCACCGTCTGTCAGTTATCTATGTCATGCTCTGCATCACTGCACCGAATTGCCAACTGCACCGAGGCTGACACGAAACAACATGCAGTCCAAACCTTTGGTTCTACACCTACATGTTGGCATGACAGCACGCAAACCACTTTGTGTTCCGAATTAACCTGGCCTCAGCTCGAGCATGTGTCTGCACAAGCAGCAGAACCTTTCTACACTGGTGGTGACATGACTCATGACCCAATGGCCCAATGGCGTGTCGCAGTGTCACATGGCTCTAACCAAGCATTGAATCATGCGCTCATGAGGCTCATGAACTCATGAACTGAACTCATGACACATGACAGACAGACAGACAGACAGGGCATGCGGGCATGCGGCATGCAGCACTGCAGTACCTGACATGTAGCAATGAACATGAAGAGTCACAAGATCACCGTCGGACCATAGCAATCCCGACAGCATGAAGTGTAGTTCGTGACATGTGACGACTTGCACTAGCACTAGCACTCTAGAGGTTCATTAGGCAGTCTAGAGTCTAGGCCCCCCTGCACACCGGTGTCGCGAAGCGCTCGAGGAAGGTCAGACGAAGACGGACTTGGCCAGCTAGCCGAACCCTGATCGACGCGCGAGTGACACTCCGCCAAGACCTTGTCACAACAACCGCGGTGACTGTGCAGCAAACAGACAGGGCAGAGGGCCAACGGGCCCGATGGGCTAGTCCGTGGTGGGTCGGTCTCTGCCAGCCTCACATCGGACCCAACACCATCCGACACGGAGTCACATTGCCCACAAACGAAGCACACTGCATCATCCATAACGAGATCGATATCATCCATCAGTTTGCTCTGTGCGGCACGAAGCATGTCAATCATGCGGAGAAGCACAGCTGGAACTTGATTGGCCTGAAAATGATGCAGTGTCGATTGGGTCCTTCGCTCACGAAGTACACGCACACCTGTGGCAGGGATCAGAATCGATGCACCCTTCTCGACGAAGTTCATGGGTGTCCGCTTGTTTCCGACTGGAACGATGCACTTCAAGCGGTTTGTGTTCGGATCAAAATCAGCAATCCGCCCACGGATACCAGGGTCTGTCCACTGCACAAACACGAACTGTGACGGAGTGTTCGTGGACGTGGACTCCGTTGACACTTCAGGTAAAGACACCAATGAGACTCCTGATTCCTGATCTTGGCCGGGACGCTTGCCCTGGGACCATGCATAATAGTCCAGTGAATCGACTCCTTTCTGGACACATGATAGCCACTGAGTCAAAGCAGAGGCTATATCGGAAACTCCACCACTTGTGCCGCCTGATTGACCTCGGGATGCATGCTCGGTTCTGGTTGGGGAACCAGCCCTGTGAACACAAAAAAGCAGAGACTAGTCTAGGACGCACTAAGACTTTGCAACAACTGACATCATCACTGATATGATATGCGGCATGATGACAGTATAGTACATCGGGGGATGGGCCAGGCGTGAGAGTCCGGGATGTCCCGCTATCACTCCATACTCAACACTACTACACTCGCACTATCGTGACATGACATGTCTGACATGATCAACGTGACATGAAATCACATGGACTCACATGGATGTTCAAATGCAGATTCTGCATGTGTGACACCTGTGAACCAATCAACCCCACGCTCCCACGAACCCGGGAACGGACCCGTGACAAGCACGTTGCATGATACATACATACATACAACTTACAACTTACAACTTACAACTTACAACTTACAACTTACAACTACAACAACAACAACAACTACTACTACTACTACAACTACTACAACTACTACTAATACTACTACTACTACTACTACTACTACTACTACTACTACTACTACTACTACTACTACTACTACTACTACTACTACTACTACTACTACTACTACTACTACTACTACTACTACTACTACTACTACTACTACTACTACTACTACTACCTACTACTACTACTACTACTACTACTACTACTACTACTACTACTACTACTACTACTCCTGCTGATGCTACTACTACAAGTTGTGTTGGTCTACCCACCCGTCGCCTGTACCATCAGCATCGTTGACAGAAGACATGTAGTCCACACTGTTGCCCATGACGCTGGCCTGGTTCAGCACTGCTTCGACGGCCTGTGCGTGCCCATCCAGGTCCATGTCAGCCGTAGCAAAGGAGGCAATGACACGGGGAGGGAGCATCGGGCACACACCAGTGCGTAAGGCATCGTGTGCCCTTTCGGTGTCCGCGAATAGCATGGTTTCCTCCATGACCTCCTCCTGAATGTCTGTGCGCAAGATCTCTTCATCTTGCTCGATAGAGTCTGAAACGAAAAAGGCCCGGGACGACTCATCGGTGGCCTTGTTGAGTGCGGCGCAAGCAGCCGCAATCTCTTGGTCACCGTGGTCGTCATCATCAGCATCAGCATCCGCCTCAGCTTCCTCCATCAGGAAGTGCATCCCCTCCATGATCTCCGAATCCCCACACGCATCCGCATCAGGAGCTACATCATCTCCGGACTCGTCCCCGTTGTCTACACCAGCGGCATCAGCGGCATCCTTTCCCGAATCATTGTGTTGCGGATCTGTGGAACACAGTTTCTTCTGGAGTTTCTTGGAAGGTGGTTTGAGCGTAGTCACAGGGACGGGTGCTTGCGTTCCGTAAGCACCGACGAGACTCAGGTCACACATTGAAGCAGTGGACCTGTGAACCGGGACGATGCATATTTGTACCATGCCCGATGCACCGGCCACATTGCAATAGTGAGAAGCAATCACATCGATGGAGTTGTGAAAGGTTAAGGGCTTGCGAACGTGCACCCACTTGTTGTCGTCGCCACCATTGTTTGACAGTGAGCACTCGACCAGACGGTGTGAAGACCGGATTTTCTCGCAGGCCACATAGTAGGAGAATGTGCTCTTGCGAGCACCCGCTGCTCTGTGTGCAAAACAAATCACAGGCACCTGGTGGTGTCGATCCGATGAACTCTCTCGATCATGCAATGCACGGCTCAACAACATGTTGTAGCAAGCGGCCCAATTCTTCTGTGATACTGGAACTTTACAGGGATACAACCGGCGAACAATCTGTGCAAGTTTGGTCTGAGGCAGCAATTCTGGATCTTCAGGTGCTTGCCAGCGTGTGGTGTCTTCCTGGATTTGCAACCTATCATGCCAAGCCGTGAGGCAAGACCGCAACATGGACAAGGCTGTGGGTTTGTACGTCGACCACTTGCGACGTTGGCTTCCGGACCCAGCGTGACCAGCTTCGCCAAGGAAATGTTTGATGCATGCACGGCTGGATTGCAGCTCGACAGAGGCGTTGGGGCAACGTTCTGCGGTCAGCTTGAGCTGTTTGTTTACCCGCTCGTTTTCCCGCGTGTCGGCTTGCCAAACCCTGGCCACACCACGCATACAAACCCGTAGTGGCCCAACAAGCACTCCCTGAATAGAAGCCACAGTCAACTCTGCATTGAACAGCGTCTTCACTTTGCGTGCGTTGATCTCCAGCTGGTCTGGCTTGGCCGACAGCAGCTCGCGTGCGACCTGTTTGCGCTCCTCACAACAATCAGAATCATGTGCTTTCACCAGCAACATGAGTCTCTGCGGATACGCCTCCAAAGTATCCAGCACCCTACGATGGAAACATGATGCGTTGTGAAGGATCTGCACAAACGCCAAATACATGAGCCATACAGCATCGTCATCACTGTCCAAGTCCGTTCGAGAAATAATAGCCCTCCATCGTGACGATGAACCTGAACCTGGGCTTAATGACATGCACATTGAATATGCATTATATGGCCGCATGGCATGAACTTTCAACTGTCCCAGTCGCATGAACATCAATGTGAAACACCGTGACACAGTGGCACATGCCGTGCGAATCTATGACACAAACACGTGACCGTGGCCGTCAGACGGGCATCAGGACGGAGAATGATCACTCGTGAATCTCGTGAATAATCTAGTTAATAGTCGTGCTCGTGCTCTGATTATTTGTGAACACTCAAAACATGACTCATGACTCCATGAGACTCATGACTCATGATTCATGATGACTGAAGACTGTTATGACTCGCATGATTCTCGTGACCACAAAGGTAAATTCACAGCCAGTGGCCCCAGAGCATGTCGTCAAACTCTTGCCCGATTTGTGCCCCCTTCCCGACCACCAGCCGGAACATGGGAGCATTTTCCGTGGGCAAGACCTTGGCCTTTAAGTAGTTGCTGAGGTGGATGAAAGGCTTGCGGCACAGGTTCATCACCTGCACCACGCCATCGAACAAGGGGTCACGCACAGTGGACATGGAACTTGTTCGCCACCTGCCCATGCGCTTCCGGTATTCCTTCTTCTCCTCAACGGCCAGCATGTCGACATCGTACGCACCATCATTGTCTTGATCATTGTACTCCGTGCATTGGAACACTCGCATCATTGTGGCTCGCAACGCAGGCACTCCAGCTTTCAAGAGGCGGGTTTCCGTCAGGTCTATCGACCCCCATCGCTCTGCAATGCACCTGGGAAACAGAGTCCTCACACATTTGTTAGCAGATTCATCCCCGTGAAGTGTTCGCCAGGCAGTGTACAGGTCTTGTGAGATGTCACGGAGAATGTTGGTAAGCATAGCCACACTAGAGAAGTATTTCCACTTGCGTCTGCCAGCGAGCAACGAATCCACCAGCTTCAACCCGCCAAGTACACCCAGATGTGCCTGATGTTCGTAACAGTCGGCCGGAAGGAAGAAACACCATGGAACATCCATCAACTTGGCCTGCACAACCTTCTTAGTCCAAATCTCATTCGGACCACGGTCTGTGGTGCACATGATCCAAACGAAGCTGTTGTGGGTCCTGAAGCTCAGAGGTTAAGCCAGCGTGTAGTACAGTACAGCCATCGAATCGGAACATGGAGAAATATTGAGTTAGACATAACAACATGAACTAACATGTACTGCGCATGGCATGAGACCATGAGTCTATGAGTCGCGGGACCCGGAAAGGGAACGTGACATGACATGGTAACATTACCAAGACTGAATCATGACCTACTGCGCATGAGTCTAATAGCCATTCTAAGCAGTCGAGACGTTCCACGTTCCACGTCTTTGTGACTCGACCACATTTTTTTCACTCTCTTCGTTGTTACATAACCTACACACACCACGACATCACGACACCGACATCGACACCGTCATGATGCCCGCAAATTACATCCCCTGACTCACTGGATCCTGATGCTACGATGTGACCGATGCGAACAGGGCACACGACACCAGCCTCATGCTGTTCCACAAATGTATCCCAGGTCGGACAGCCCAAACTCTCAAGCATCTTCTTGCACAGGGCCAAAGTTGCGGGACCATCGCCGCGGTGAACGGGGAGTACATCTGCCAACCTTCTGATGCAGGTTAGATCCTTGGGACTCAATCGCGGCAGGTCATGTCGGGCAGCTACAACATAAGATGCCTGCAATTCCAGCGCTGTCATCTTCGACCGATGTTTGGATGAGTTCGTTGCATCCTCCCTGTACTGCAGCCACAGGAAGGAGCAACGATCGTCTTCATTGTGACGGTCAGACAGCTCTGAGTCCCGTTGTTGGAAAAACTGGTGCGCGGATGCCATCAGGGCCGCTCCTGATCGACACTCCGCTCTCAGGACTGTTTGTTTGCTGCAGTCGTCCATGATCACCAATCCCAGGTCCTCTGCACTGCAGTTGGACATGTTGCGCCTGATGGCTAGCGACAACGTTCCTTCGGGAGTGAGCCATCCCTGCGAGCGTGATGTGTGTCCCGGTCCCTGCTCATTGATGGAGGCGTCGATGTGATCTTGAGCATCTAGGCGCTTTTTTTGATACTGAAATATTCATCAATCTTGTTTGACTCGAGGCAACGAACCTCCTTCTTTTTGGCCCTGTCAGATTTCACTCGTGTGATGTGCAGCGTGTCTCGGGACTCCCGTTCCATGTCATTCACAATATCTGAGCGGAGATCATTCACTTGCTTCTGAAGACGTGTGCATCTCTGTCGGTAGTACTTCAGCATCTTGGCTTGGCTGTTGATTTTGGCATCTTTGGTTGCAAGAAGTCTTCTGAGCAACTGCAGAGAGACAGAACCTGAACCATTGTGATTGTGGACTTGTCTATGACGAGGTCGAGCATCATGAAGGTCACGGAGGTCATCATCAGGGTCAGCGCCAACACCACCCCCAGACCCACACCCATGAGACTCATGAGGCTGACCGTCCACTCGAGAATCACTCGCACTCGCAACCCCGGCGTTGGAACCTAGGTTCTGCTTCAGTTGATGCCACTCATCAGGTCTGAATGATAAAGCGTGGATGTCCTCCAGCACACAGAGGAGGACGTCGAAATCGAACATCGGTTCACCACTGTGTGCATGCCCCTCGCGCAAGAACAAGAGACCAGTGGTTGACATGAAATGATCGAATTCAAACCCTCGCACGGCTCCCCCACCGGCAAGAGAGTATTTACCTGCTTGACATATCGAATAAATATCGGATCTGGTCACACACAAACGACCATCAACTCCGGAAACACATGCACATTTCTGTAGCAAATTGAGCAGCACAGGCTGGATTGCCAATGAAGGCAGCGACATGGCTGGCTATATTCCTGCACGATATGGTGGCAATACTGATACGAATAAACCCAGCCAGCCAGATGTAGTCTAGAGTCTAAGAGTCTAACCGTTCTGCATCCGAGTTCAGAAACTTCGACTCAAGATGTGATCTGATGACATCACCTTGCACACAGTCACACAGAATCGTCAATTCGTCAATATATTTATATATATGTATATTATGTATATGAATACACACACGACCGCGATGCCGCACTGAGTCGAGAAGAGCTGAGCGTAACCGTGACCGTAACCGCTACGTGTACTTTTACATGGCACATGAATCATGAACTACATGACTCCATGACAGCTAGCTGCTAGAGCAAAATGCTGCATACATGGGTGCATGACATGCATCAGTGCATAGTGCATGAATGACCAAACTGCCGAAGCAATATGCTGAACATGTTGCATGAAACATTGCATGAACTTCATGACCACGATCCTATGAACCATGCCATGAGCACATGAGCACATGCAGTCACATGAAATGACTCGCATGAACCGCCGACACTTATCAGAAGAGAACACCAGCGAAAACGTCGGACCACGACTACGACCAGCAAACAACAACGATTAACAACAACAACCACAACAACAACAACAACAACAACATCAACAACAACCACAACAACAGCAACAACAGCAACAGCCACAACAACGACAACACCACCAACAACTAACAACAGCAACAACAACAACAACAACAACAACCATAACGACGCCATCAACAACAACAACACCACCAACAGCTCAAATGTTTCGACAGATTCACCAGAGTTATCACAAGCAGCTTAAAAATTAATAAGCAACCACAACAGCAGCCGCCGACGGCCGACAGCCTCAAACTCACTGACCCACTGAGCCACTGAGTCGCCAATCAATGCACCAGCCAGCTAAGCACAACAACAACAACAACAACAACAACAACGACAACTTTGCCCAACACCAACAAATGCAAACGACAAACTGACAGACAATGAGACAAACAGACAAACAGCCGGCCAACCACGGGACAAGCCACTACTCAAGCAATTGCAGCAGCAGCAGCAACAAGAACAAGAAATACGACTCGCGAGGGCATACGACGACGAACACTGACTCAAAACAACGGGCATACAAGAACGACTAACGACTAACTACTAACTACCCGTAACTCGTACAATTGACTCTTCGAACGACTAACCGAACCACACCGATCCAATAATAACGACCACAGTTCAATCGACAGTAGAATTTGAAAGAACGCAAAAAACAGCAACACAACAACAACACCAACAACAACAGCAACAACAGCCGCAGCAGCAACAGCAGCAACAATTGCAACAGACAAACAAGGACCAACCAATGAACCAACCAACCAAGAACTAAGGATTCTAAGGATTACAAGGATCAACTGGATCAACCAATCAACCAACCAATCAACCCACCAGGGACCCACCAGGCAAGCAAAACAAGCCAACAAATAACAAACACAAACAACCAAGCAAACAAACAAACAAATCAAGTTACAAAACATTAATAGAATAGGTAGGTGATGATAACAGTTCAATCATCTTCACCATAACACATAGCAACAACAGTAGCAACCACAACGACAACCACAACACCATCAGTGACATCAATCACCAAGGCAACAGCAACAACAACCACTCAGCACAACCGCGGACTGCAGCAACAACACGGACCAACAACAACAACAATACGACACCAACAACAAACACAACCATGAGATAGCATAAGACAATAAACAAACCAAAACATCACACGAGGTGGCAGCAATGTAAATAGTAACAAACATGACAGGGCATCACATGGCGTGAGCATGAAGCATGAGCATGAGGCTAACATGAGGAGTGGTTGTTGATGTGATTTGTTGATTCTAATTGTTGTTGTGATTGAAATTGTGTGCGCGTGTGTGTGTGTGTGTGTTGCACTGGTTGGTGTTGTTGTGATTGTACTGTGAGTGCCAGATATGTTCAGTTGTTGTTGCTGATGCTGCTATGCTGGTGACACTGTTGGTTTGTGATGCTATGTGCCGTGTTTTGGTGTTTCAGTTTGCTCTTGGTGATGTTGTTGTTGCTGCGCTGCTGTCGTTGGTATCGTTGGTGCTATTGTAGATGAGATGAGTTGATTCGACGACGACGATGATTGTGATGGTGACGGTGATGAGATATCGTTGGTGTTGCTGTTGACATTACTACTATTGTTGAGGTTTATGTTGATGTTGCTGGTGTTGTTGGTCGGTGGGTGGATTTTTTGGTTGTGGTGATGTTGGTGTTGTTGTTGTTGGTGGTGGTGACGTGTTGTTGTGCGCTGCTCATGAGCACATGCACTCGTGGTCATGTTGAACATGTTGCATATGCCGAACATGAACATGTCGCACATGCTGAAAAGGAGCAACATGCGGAACATGAGCACATGCGCTCTCATGCATAAACATGTTGCACATGCGAAACACGAGCACATGCACTCCCGAGCCCTCCCCCCAGCCCATCCCCAAACATGTTGCACATGCGAAACATGAGCACATGCACTCCCAAGCCCTCCCCCCAGCCCATCCCCAAACATGTTGCACATGCGGAACATGAGCACATGCACTCCCAAGCCCTCCCCCCAGCCCATCCCCAAACATGTTGCACATGCGGAACATGAGCACATGCACTCCCGAGCCCCTTCCCCCAGCCCATCCCCAAACCCGCGGCGACCCGAGGGGGGGATGCACTCCCGAGCCTCCCTGCTTCCCCAACCTATCCCCAAACCCGCGGGGACCTGGGGGGGGGTAGGGGTCCCCACCAACCCCGGCTTCAACCAACAGCGCAAACTGGAACCTACAAATGCAAGAGTGTGAATCTGGATCATGATCGATGTTGTATGCCCCGGCGAGCTCGGACCTATAGTCATTCGTTGAAAACTTTACCTCGTTTTGTTGCCAATCTGTCTGCATGTGCGACCTAGTGCGACCGCAGCACTGCTGATGCTTGAAAGGCCACAGACCACGAGGATCATGCTGTCACAGCCACAGGCATGCCCAAATCAAGCTGAAGCTGCTGCTCTCACTGCACGAAACGTATTCCAGCTTGGGGCTGCACGTCCTCGGCTGTTCTCGGACTTCAGCTTGCTCGGGCCTGGAGTCGGCATTTATGTACGTCCAAAATTCAGTACCATGGCGCTGACGCTCGGACAGGAACCTCTTATTAGCCTGACCTGAGCATCACTCGCTGGCGTGGTCCAAACCGCACATCCACCCACCTCGGACCGACAGATCCTCAGGCCGTCCTCGGAGTTGACTCCAGCCTCAGAGTTGGAAGACACACAACTGTAACAACCCAGTGAGAAGTAGCTCGTCAAAAGCAGGCTCTCCTGTCAGGCTCGTGCCATGTGTGTCTGGGTGCGGATAAGGTGTGCGGGATAGCCGAAGTACTTGAAAGAAGCCAAGAACCCCAGATGAACGAATCAGCTCAAAGTATCTCTCATAAGGTACCCTGGGACGTTGAAATTGGGTGAAGTGCAGACTGACACCGGGAGCCCCACGACATCGCGACAGCGGTTCAGCCACCTGCCACAAGCTCGAGTCGCATGATTTCACAGCAGTGACTGACACCTTTCGAAGAACGAGCAGCTGCGCGATTTTTTCCGCTCGGCGCTCATATTCGACCACGCCAGTATGCGTGGCAAGTGCACCACGTTCCTTTGGAGAGGTGCAAATGTGCATCATTAATGGCCCTGGCACTGTCTCGACTCAGTCAGACTGAAAAGGCTTGGCAAACTCGGACTTAAGCATTAGGATTCTTAGGGATGGCAGCTAGAGGCCGCTATGTAAACACTTGAACTTTTTGAGTTGCCTGATCAGCAGTCGGACATAGCATCGTCAGAGTCAGTGCTCGGGCTGATTTTCAGCCTGGGGTTGTGGACAAACAACTAAGTGTTGTTTAAGTCTTAGTAAATAATAAGTACTACTTTTGAAGTCACAGTCATTATTTTAAGGATACAGCCAAGGATCACCATCCTCGTCAGGATTTACGAACCACCTGCTTCTTCGGCGCAGAACATCAGGCTTCGGCCCATATCCTCCTGTGAGGAAGGAATACTGGGAGGATCTCCGGGGCGAGCGGGACCTCTCGGGCCAAGCTGCCTTTGGCATGGCGGGCGAGAAACTCTTTGGCACTCCGACTGGCGGTGGAGGTATTGGCGAAGCGCGCCTCGGGCAAAGCCAGCTAAAGTTAAGGTTTGGGTTTTGTGGGCTTATGCTGTATGCTTCTGGGCTTAAATCTTTCGTCATCCTCGGTCCTGACGGGGTGAGGCTCTCTGTCGGACGCACCAGCCACAGCAGCATCATCGTCGCGGCGAGGTCGTGCCTTGCCAGGCTAAGGAATAGCAAAATTAAAGTTACAGAGGAACCCGCGCGTCGCAGCCTGGTGGTGCCGAGAAGCAGGTGCTGGATCACGCGACGAGGCAGAAGGCTCGTGCTCGATCGGCTCCGTCGGCTCGGTCAAACGAGGGCTTTCAGCCTGGAGTTGAAGAATGACATGATTATTGAATCAACCTTAAACCCGAATAAACCACAAAACCCATTCAATTACTTATATAAGTCAAGGAGCAGCCTGAGCCTTGGCCTTCGGCATATTTTTAGGCTGCAGCAGGGCTTTTGGTCGAGCCTTCTGCTTCGGAACCTTCGGAGCTGCTTTCTCGGACGAAGAAGGACCAGGAGCTGCAACCACAGGCTCGGCCGAAGAAGG